ATACAGAGAACAAACAGAGCGTTGCTGGAGGGGTTCTGGGAGGGGGGATGGTCTAAATGGGTAAGGGGCATTAAGGAATCTACTCCTGAAATCAGTTGTTGCACTATATGGTAACTAACTTGGATGTAAATTAAACAATAAATTAAAAAATAAATGAAAGTAAACATTTAAAAAAAACTTAAAAATAAATGAAATAAAAATAAAAATTTATGTTCAGAATAGTAGTTTCCTATGTGGTATGATGGAATCTTCAGGTTAAAATGTGTCCTCATTGCTGCTTCTGCCTATCCACGAGTCACGTGAATTCTGTGCTTGATTCTGTGTATAGGACCGATGCTGAAAATAGAGTGGGAAGGGTGGACTACTCTTTAGAGCGGTATTTCTTAGTGAAGGGCGTACATCAGAATCCCGCCTTGCCCCCAGGACTGTTTCAAAATTGCATGTGTAGGATTTACTTCCCAAGATTCTGAGTCAGGACTGGGGCCTCGACATTTGCAATCTGAAAAATCTCCCCTTGTGATTCTGATGGTCATTGCTGATGAAGAGCCATTGGGTTTACAGGCAACACAATTACACACTTAACCGGGCAGTCCTGAATTTGAAAAGCTGTGGGATGGGAGGTTCTTCAAAACCACAAGTACTTAGCTACGTCTGCGCGTACTCGATATTACGTGTAATTAGGTGTTTCTCTACCCAGTAAATGGCATTGTCTTTTTGACTACCAGATGCACGGGAAACTCTGCATATTTTGTTTGCTTTGCGAAGCGTACCTGAGATGGTGGCAGCTTCAAGATTCAAACCAGAACACCGATCCCGACGACTTCATCAGATATGCCAAGGAGTGGGATTTCTATAGAATGTTCGCAATTGCTTCTCTAGGTACGAAGAAGCCACGCTTTCTGTTCTCAGCCATCTAGTCCCCACTATTCTGATCACAAGTGAAGTGGGTGGGCTTCATCATTGGTAAGGGCAGGGGGTTAACATAGGACTTGAGACTTAAACGTTCAGCTCTACTGCTAAGCTGCTAGATGAGTTTGTCTAAATTATGTGCTTGCTTGCTTTTCTATTTGTTACCACACATCTGTTACGGAAATGGTTAGGTTTATCAGATTAGAGAGTTTCGTAAAATATGTTGAGGCATACCATCGTCGATAAAACTCTTAAATTTAATTTCTGATTGTCCAGTTGAAAGACTCCCCAGGTCTCATCTTTATTAAAACAGACTGATAATTGCCAGACCTTATCCAATGTGTTGTGCTAATTGCATTGAACTCATGCAACCTGTTTAATAGGGAAAACTCGTTCTTTCTCTGACTGCATTCAGGAAAAGTGACTCCTGTCCCAAGTTCCTTAAGTTCAAGGAACTGCTTTTCTCCAGAATTCGAGTTTGTGACTGAGGTCAGAATTGTGTTGAATTAATTTCTGCCACTGTTTTCTTACTTACAGGCTTCCATGCTCTGCTTCTAACACTCTTTGATTATAATGAAATATTGTTTTAGCAATATTGAGTCTCCAGTGCACTGCAGTGTCACATTCCTGGACTGTGTTGTCCTCTTTTGTCCCATTTTCTTCTCTGTTTGCTCTCACTTCCTTGGTCCCCTCATCCATTTCTGAGGTTTTAAAATTTACATTTTAAGAATTCGCAAACGTATATAATAATATTAAAACAATCCTTGAGAACGTTGCCTACGCCAGGAACTAGAACCTAATGTAATTTTAAGCTTTAAAGCAAAACCTCTTAAAATTTCTGAGGATAAGCTCCCGTGTGTCCGTAATTTTTAATATAAAAAATAAACCAGGCTTATTTTCAAATAGTTCAGAATTGCTGTAGCACCTACTCTATAGTGGATATTTTGACACTCAGAAATTTTTTCTACTGTTACTTTTTTAATCCACTATTAGGTTCTGACCCCCTAAAATAGGTTATGAAAAAATGCCCTACATAAATACAGCATTTTATAATTTAAACACTGCTTTTACGATTTTATCAACTTAATGTTCACAACCATCCTCTTTGGTAGATAGGTTAGGTTCTCCCGTGGAGACATAGAAGCAGGAAGGCAATGATTTCCCCAAAATCCCACCGCAGGTTAGTGTCAGCACTGAGACAGGTGGCTCCCCGGGCTCCCCATCTGGTGTTTTCTCCGTGCAGCCCTCTGTAGGCAGGTGAGGTCCTCCTGAACCCGGCCGATCCATGAAAGCCTCATAGTATCTGCCTTGAGAAAGACTGTGCAGAGCCCAAGGGCTGGTGCAAACACATAAATCTCTCAAGTTCTGAGTTAGATAGATGTGGAGGTTATCTGGTCCGCCCTTCTCTCCAGTGCTAGAAATCCTTCCCTCAGCTCTGCAAAATGATCTAGCTTTGTCTGAGTATCTCCAGTGACAGGAGACAACCCACTATTAGATCGTTCTTGTTGTTAAGGAATTCTTTGTTGCTTTTATTACTTTTTTGGTCCAAATCTGAGGCTATAAGATCAGCCTATTTCAGCAGGTCTTTGCAGTTGACAAGCCCTTGGTGTCCCTGTCATGTAGGTCAACCGGCCAAAATTATTTTTGATTCTAATCACCTATGTTTGGAACCTCTTTAGTTTGACTCTGTTTGGTTATAAAACATTTTAGGAAGGATACAGTTGTCTCTCCTATAAGATGACACATGTGTTCCAGAAAAACCAGATTCTACAGAAACCTACATAACATAGCTTATGGGAAAAAATAGAATTAGGGACAGATCACTCAAAACGTATGCAGCTGGGTAATCAGAGGACTAACAGTCTGAATAAAAATAATACCACAGTTAAAAGAAATGTTAAAATCCTAGTTAATGGGAATAGAACAGCCCGTGCTCTGTTCTGTGGACCCAGTGGAACTGTGGCTTCTCCTGTACTGGACTCTGTCTATGAATACTTTCTGGAAGGATAAGGAATTGCACTCAGAAAGCTTGTTAACATGAATTAAGGAAGTTTTAAATTTAGATAACAGTATTCAAAATCTTGTAGATACTAGGTATTCAATAAATAGTGGAAGAATGAGCAAAGAAAAACATCTTCATATGCAATTCTTAGGCTGGGTCCCGTCTTTCGGACTTAAAAAAAACCTCCATATTCCTGTATTATTCTTTCTGTGGAGGCCTCGAACACTGAAAATACCTAAACAGAGTCTTACTTCCTAGAAAGAACTTCAGAGAGCTGATGATCACAATCCTAATGGACTGACTTTTGCTTCGGTGGGTGATGAAATACTCCACGAAAGAACTGTTGAACTATGTTTCTGAAATCATACCAGCAGGATTTGACACAAAAGGCAGGGGCTTATTTTAAAAAAAAAAAAAAAAAAAAAAAAAAAAAAAGAAGGAGGGAGGAAAAAGAAAATTTGATCTCAATAAAGCAATTCTAATGAAGTCAGCCGGTAAGTTGTATTTTGGAATTGTGGCTTATTTGGTTTTAGAGAGATATGGTTCAGCTAGGGACATTCATGTGTTTGTCCTCCGTTCCCTCCTTAGAACAAGCTGCCTTTTTTACTGGCATCTTTACTTTCCTGTGGGTAGAACGACCGACGACAGCGAAAAAAAAACCCGACTTCATTTTGCTGCTGAAAGCATTATTGTTGTCGAGCTACGGAAAACTCTTGCTGATTCCAGCCGTCATTTGGGAGCACGACTACACATCCCTGTGCCTCAGACTCATCAAAGTATTTGTCCTTACATCCAATTTTCAGGCAATCAGAGGTATGTTTATGTTTTATCCTGTCTCCTCCGCTTTCAGCCCACACACAAGCTTAAAGCCTTGCGCCTCCGACACGCTCTTGCCAAACCTGTTAGACTCTGGAATTCTTCATAGAATAATAACAGGGCCTGGCACTCCTCTAATGCCTTATTCAGAGCGCGTAGTCGGTATTTGTTCACGTTAACCACGTGGTATTTTTTAGTGCTCAAAATGCCTTCATATGCAACATCTCAGTGCCGTGGGGTTAGTAGGGCAGCCGTTATTACCCTCCGTTTTGCGGATGACTTGTCCAAATGTACGTGGCGGGGCAGTCGTCAAGCCAGGAAGCACAGCTCCTACCACACCAAAGAAAGGATGAGCAGCCTTGGGGGTCTTCATTTTCCCCATCCATTGTGAGAAGGGTTATTTTAAATGAGGCTGCTACCTGATACCTTTTATCGTAATGCTTACTGTTAAACAGAGAGTCTCCGGGTTTGTTTGTTTTTGTTTTGTTTTGTCGATCTCTTTTTTTTTTTTTTTAACATTTATTTATTTTTGAGACAGAGAGAGACAGAGCATGAACGGGGGAGGGTCAGAGAGAGAGGGAGACACAGAATCCGAAACTGGCTCCAGGCTCTGAGCTGTCAACACAGAGCCCGCTGCAGGGCTCGAACTCACGGACCGCAAGATCATGACCTGAGCTGAAGTCGGTCTCTCAACCGACTGAGCCACCCAGGCGCCCCATTGTCGATCTCTTTATAACCTTAAAATCTGTTCTTAATTTTCTCCGTCAGTATTCATGGAAATCTGTGTCTTGATTTCAGGAGGAGAAACTTCGTGTGTTTGTTGCCGGCACATGCTTTGTTTCTCTCCAGAGGTCCGTAGATTTTTAAAAAGTGGGAGAGGATAACAGCACCAGTTAATAAGAACAAATAGAGATTTTTCTCAAAAACAGCTCTACAAAAGAGTTCCATTCAGAATGCCACGTACTTTACATGCTGACATCACTTAAACTCTTAAGGACTTACTAGTTGTCTGTTCTTTTCCAGTGACCCTGAATATCAGCCGAAAGCTCTCCTTTCTGGCCATCTTTAGTGGCTTACTGGTGGAAAGCACCATGGTCTACTTCTTCCAGAGGATGCAATGGGACGTGGGAAGTGATTGCACCATCTATAAATCTCAAGACTTTTGAAGAGGGTACAAAAGCCTCTTAGCATTCACACACTCAGACGGGCGTCCTCCTCAAATGAGACCAATGCCATCGCAGAATCCGTAGATGCCCTTACGTGACCCAGCCCCTGACTGCCTCTGGGTCACCTCAGCCGCGCCCCCCCCCCACCCCCCCGAGGACTTCAGTGCACATCTCTCTGGGTCCTTCACTTTAGGTCAAGGACATCCACATCCATGCTTTGCTGCTTCCTGGGGCCCTATTCTCCGCCTCTCTGACACCGGCACGCCATGTCGCTTGTAGCGGGACCTGACTCCGAAATCTGCCCCATTGGCTGCTGTCCCCCCCACCCTGCCCCAGTCCCTCGTCCTCCCTTCCACGGGCCCTGCTGTGGGCTGCCTCTTCACCTTCCCTCGACCTCCACTTCTGACCGGCCTTGCTTCGCTTTTTACCCACCTGCAAATGTAGGCAGCTGCCGACTCATCCCCATTAGTCCCCGAACCCATCAGCCCCTTGCCTTTCTGCTGGCCGCGCCTCATTCGAGCCGTTGGGGTGACTCCGCGGCCGTCTTCCCCACGAGGCCAGCGCTGCACGTGCACAGAGCCTCAGCTGGACCTCCGTGATGCCCCTCTGCCTTCGTGGTCCCCTCCAGTGAACCTCCCCCACGCTCCTGCCTCCCACGTCTGCCCTCCCGTTGCTGAGAGTCAAGCTGGTTACGCTATTGCTGGAGCTTTGTTCCTTCTTCAGCTCAAAACTCATTTGGTCGCCTGCCTTCTTCCCTCCTTCCCTCCCTCTGGTCCTGGACCCATGCTCGTCTTCCTCTCTGGGCTGTTTGCTCCCTGGAAGCGTCCTTCCCCTCCCCCCCCCACCCCAGGTCACAGTCAGGCTCCCGGCCCACAGCCTGGCCCTCCCTGCAGCCTGTGCTGTCCGCGGGGGCCTGGAGCAGACCCAGAGGCCGGTTTGGGGGTGGGGGTGCAAGCAGCGTGGGAAGCACAAAAGTGGCAGGAGAGCACCCCAGGTCCGAACCTTCTGCACTGCGGAAAGGCCATCCTCCCTCCTGTGACCTCAGTCTCCCCTCATGCTCAGCCAATGCTCTTCCTTTCCAGGTCTTCAGACACAGCTCTTTTCATTGTCCTCTCCCGTGCCCTGGCTCCTTCCCCTCTGCAAACTGTATACGCACAGCTCTCTGTTCTAGAACAACTGGTCAAGCCTGCTTCTTCACCGCCTTTCCTCTTTGTAAGACATACTTTCTCCCATAGTCTCCTGACTCTGCCCTCCTAAAAATCAGAGGGAAGCCAGTTGCCAGGTCTTTGTCAGACTCCTCCCTAGCTCTGCTCTGGAAGCTCACCCAGAGCCCCTCCTTCTGAGACCGGCTGCCCGTTCTGTCGGTCTTTTGTTCACCGGCTTCCCAGCCCCGGGACTCTGACCTCAGCTTCTCTCCTCTCTCTTGCCGTTCGCGTTCAGCTCCCAAGACGTGGGCCTCCCAGACCCAGCACCTCCAGCTTGCCCCTCTGCCCGCTCTCTCTGCCCGTCCACTGCCTCCCAGGCGGTGCCAGCATGGCCCCGCCTTTACCTCTGAAGCTGAACTCCCAACTCACCGCCCTGTACCCACCCAAACAGAATCCTTGCCCGAAGCTTTTCTCTGGAAACGTCCCTTTTCACTCAGACCCCGGGTCTTGTCTCCTGCCTGAAAGGTTACAACAGCCTCCTCCCAGGCCCTCAACCCAGACCGGCGCCACGCACCGTGGTGGCGTCCCTCCGTGTCTGTCATCGTCTCTTACTGCTGACCCTGGAGGTTCTTGTCTCTTCCTGAGGAACGACTTTGTATGTTCTCTTAGCATAAGCGTGGTCCTCAGTGTTCCGGTCCCAGTTCGTTCTCCGCAGACGTGTTCCTACCCCCATCTTCTATTACAGCCTCTGCACTTCCCCATGTGTCTTCTGCTCTCCCCAGGGCCTGGAGTGGCCTCGTTTCTGCCCAACCAGATAGAGTCAGTCATCTTGGCTTCTCTGTGAAAGGAAGGCTTTCCGAAAACTCGAGTCTGTGGGCTCACTCCCGTTCACCCCGCCACCCCCCAAGGCCCAGCCCAGCACCACAGCGGTCCTATCCAGGATTTCCGGAGACTGTTCTGGTCCTACTTCCCCAGGTGCTTCCACTTGTCACGCGATCCACTGTAATTTCCAGTCAGGAAAACAAAGTCCCCTGCCTCACAACCGTTTGAAAACCATTGTCCTCCTATTACATTACCTCATGTTTTATATTGTCCACGTCTTCTATTCCGATTCCAAGCGTTTATGCCTGACTCCCCCAGCCTGGGTAAAAGGTTGGTTCTGGGAGAGACCGGGTGGTTTATACATGAGGAAATAGCATGTTTCCCAAAGTACAGGGCCTGCCCCAAGAAGAATTTGTTGAGTTGATTTTGAGCAGAATGTGTCACCCTACATACCTCTTTTACTGTCCACAGTTGTGTTCTTTATTATCTGTGGCACAACCAACTGCCCTTGCAACAGAGAAGACATAAAATACAAACCAAGCTCCTCATTTCTGTTGAGCAAAGTGACGCAAAGATTTGGATACACTTCCTGAAAAAGAAAGCTACGGTTATGGCATCGGAAACCCCCCAAACTACCACATAGCCCCCATAAGAAACAACCGAACCACATATAGGCACAGACCCAGGCAAGCTCAGAGCCCGGGGTGCTGCCTGGGGAATGAGGGATAGGACAAGGGGAGAGTCCTACTTTGTAGACCACTTCGGGGAAGCTCTGGAAATGGAGGGGGAACGTGAATCCATGATCCACACATAATAAAAGATCTATGTTTCATTCCTTTGACATGTTTATATCTTTTTAATTTAAATGGTAAGTTACTGGCTATAAATAATGTATTTAGTATTGTGTTCTTACAACAACAGAAATATTTTTCTCTTAATAAAGTCAAAGTAAACAGCTTTTGTGAATTTTTCATGAATTCAGTATTTTCCCCTGTGACTAAGCTACTGTTTAAAAATGGCTGACCCGGGGTGTCTGGGTGGCTCAGCAGGTAAAGCATCCGACTCTTGATTTCAGCTCAGGTCATGATCTCACAGTTTGTGATTTTGAGCCCCGGGTCGGGATCCACTCTGACGGTGCAGGGCCGACTTGGGATTCTCTCTCTGTCTCCCCCTCCCCTTCTTTCTCTCTCTCTCAAAATAAGAATAAACATTTAAAAAAAATTTTTTTTAATGGCTGATCCAAAACTAAAACCACTGAGCTCTACACTTTACAGGGGTGGATTCTATCTCCATAAAACTGATATTAGATAAAAGCAAGATAATCTTACCTTTAGATAAGATAGCACTCCCCCCGTTTCTCTCTCCCTGTTTCATTTTTCCTTTTATTCATCATTCACTTATTCATGTGACATATTACGGAGCTCCTACTATGTGCATCAGACGGTATAGATGCAGGGCTAAGTAGCCCTCTTAAAGTTTACAGAAGTAGTGATAGATTTGGAAACCTGAGAAGGTATTTGCAGTGGAGCATGGTTAAGTGCTGTAAAGGGGATCTAGGGAAATGCAGAGCAGGAACACCTGTTCTGGCCTTAGAAGTCGAGAAGGTCCTCTGAGGGGAGGGGGAAAGGAAAGGAACTTTCCAGTGTCTCTGGAGGGAAAATAACCATGCATGCCAAGCCCTGGAGGGCAGAGAGTGTAACGTGTGCAGGGAACCGAAGAGCCCACACAACTGGGTGGAGCGTGGGTGCTGGGGGTTTTAAAAATGAGCCCAGGAAGCTACGTAAGGTCAGATAACAGAGGGCCTCGGGAATTGTAATTTATCCTGAGGATGATGAAACCAACACAGAACGCTAAAAAGAAGATGCCAAGGTAAAAACCAACTGGAATGACCTTGCATAATTGCCATAGGATGGAGCCTGTAGAAAAAAAAATGACAATGTAATATGCTGGTCACAGCTTTTCGAATCTTTGACCTGTCACCTTGTCAGTGAAGACGAACACATCACTGATCTTTTCATCCACACTCGATACACCCCCAATCTTTCTTGAGCACCACAAAGGTATTTATTTTTATGAAAACAACTATTCGAAACCCTTTCCCTGAGGGGCACCTGGGTGACTCAGTCGGTTGAGCATCTGACTTTTCATTTCGGCTCAGGTCACGATCTCACGGTTCCTGGGTTCGAGCCCCGCATTGGGTTTTGTGCTGACAGTGCGGACCCCTACCCGGCTTGCTCTCTCTCTCAAAATAAATAAATAAACTTAAAAAAAATATATATATATATATATATATATTTTAAACCCTTTTGCAGAGAGGCCACCCACAGGTGCCCGGCAGGTGCACTTGAACTAGTGATGAGTTCTCCCCCACCCCACAGAGTTCATCTTTCTCCCCTGTCAGCAGCCCTACGTATTTTTCAACATGTTTTAATGAAAAAGTTCAACGATACAAAAAAGCTACAAGGATTTTGCAGCAAAAACCCATATATCCACCACCTACGTTTTACAGTTGTGACATTTTTCCCTGACTTCTTTTCAGGTTTGTTTCTATGATGAGTCCTGAGAGAGCAGAATCGCTCAGTTAGTTACACTGGGAAGTTACAAGGTAGCGGTGGTACTTGGAGCTTTAGAAAGGCACCTGTGATTTCCAAGACACCCCTTCCCTGCAAGATCGAGATGTGGTCTCATAAAGACAGCAAAAGGTATTTATATGCAAATCCACTGGAAGCTATAAAAATCAAATCCCTTTCAGATAGCCCCGCTTTCATTGCAAAGTATATGTATTCAAGCCACCAAAGAAAACCTGCCCCCTACTCACAGTCTGATGGGTTATGGTCACACGGTGGCTACTCTGACAGACCCCAGCGCTGGCCCTGGAGTGTTTCACATCACCCAGAACCAGAGGAAAGCGCCCAATTTATGAGAGCACAATATAGACTAATCAGGCACATGGAAAATAGATAGTGGTCTTGTCAAAAGACTTCAGCAAAGTGAATGAAGCCCTTTGAACTAAGTTGGGACAAAAATACTGTC